TCTCCCCCAGGCATCCCCATGTCAGCTGCTGCTGAAACTGACCAGCGCTGACTACAGGAAGCCCGAGGCAGAGTTGCTCTGCCCCAGTCTTCCTGGAATCAGCCGCTGATCAGTTTCAGCAGCAGCTGACTTGGGGACGCCTGGGTTTCTTAAGTTGAATCTGTATGTAAGTCAGAACTGGCGTCCAGATTCAGCCGCTGTTGAAACTGACCAGTTTCAGCAGCGGCTGACGCCAGTTCTGACTTACATACAGATTCAACTTAAGAACAAACCTACAGTCCCTATCTTATACGTAACCCGGGGACTGCTTGTAGTTGAAATGTAATCAAAGAAGTTTGTAATTAGTTAAGTATAGCTAAGTTTAGGTTTTTCTACCTGTATAAGCATTAGGTAATTGTTTTTTAAAATCATTTGAAAGTTATTTGGTTTTGATAAAAGAATCATTCCATTTAATAAAAATCATTTGTTTCACCATCATCCAGTAGTTTTCACTGGGTAGTCGGCTTTAACCCTTGAGGCTCCTGCCACATCACCGAACCAAGGTGTAACAAAGATCTTACAGTGGCGGATATAAAATGTTATTTTATTTGTGCATTAAATGTTATTATTGGAGGGGGGGAGCATAAAAAAGTTCTGGTTCCTGATGTTCAGATATTGAATTCAGTCTCTCTAAATCATTTGGCAGTTCTCCTTATCCCACCCATAAAACCCATCTGTCACAACACTCTCCACACACAGATTTTCTTGTTTCCTTCTCCTATCTTCTTGCAGTGGAAAACATCCCTGACTATCCTGCTCTTGGGAGGGTGGGAAAGGGAAGAAAGATGGGAGGGTGACTGATAGAATTTCTCATTCATCTCTGATTGCTGAGAACAGTGTGATGAACATACTAATATATGGACAGCCTTATCTTCCTATTGTAATGGCTGCAGGGCTACTTGCAATTCTGATCCCTTCTCTAACTGCACACACCTCAGATATGAGGCCTAGTTTCTATGATTCCCTGGAGTGAAATCCCATGATTCTTCCACTTTTAAAATAGATCCTGAGGTACAGAAACTTGTGGATTAACTGTTTTTATCCCAAGCTGGGTTTGAGCATCGTTGGTTTTTCCGTTAGGAAGCTTGTGGCCAGTGATGAATACAACTCCAAACAGCCTTCTTAATCCATCCAAAATTCTCTGTTCGCGTTGGTTTTTCCATTAGGAAGCTTGTGGCCAGTGATGAATTCAACTCCAAACAGATTTCTTAATCCATCCAAAATTCTCTGTTCCTGTTTCCTGTGGCTGCAAGCTGAGATCTTCTCACCCTTGATATACTGTCCAATGAGCTTAGCAGGGTATCAAAAGTGGCACTTCACAATGAATGTCCCTCCCAGGTGGGTAAATGGGTGCTTCTCTATGGTCATTGTCCTTCTTCCTGCTTGAATTAACCTGTTGTATTCATATAGCCATCCCACTTAGAACAGCCAGACTCACCAAACATATACTCATAAATTATTAGAGTAGCCTCACATCCATCACACTTATGTTCCACCCCACTGCTGGGATGGTGATGTGATGGGACATCATAACTTCTTTCCTGGTTACTGTTTTTTCTTTCTGGTTAACAATTAAATACATTTTACAGTCAGTGGGCCTGTGGCACCTGCTGCAGGCATCCGAGTAGTTTCTTTACCCAAGCATTTCTTAACCTTAAAAGATTTGGGTTGGTTACAGGATGAGCAAAAACTCAGGATTTTCATATTTTCCTCATTGATTTGTCCATCTCCTTATTTACATTTAGGGGGCCGAGAAGACTAGTTTATTTTCTCCTGTGTATATCCCTCTACTTTACGTCTGGCTACTTCATTTGTTTGCGATTGAACGAGGAAATTTGTGGCCAGGAACAATGTGGGATGGTTAGTACTGCCTTGACCCAAGAGTAAAAAAGGCAAGTGCTGTTGAGACTTTTCACACAGCTCTGCCCATTGTGTCTTATGTAGCCTCTCAGAAGCAGCTCTCACAGATAACAGCCCAGATGCAGCAGCTGGAGGGAAAAAACGGGACAGTGAAATGGTTGCTTGGCAACAGTGAACAGGCATTCTTTCAGCAGGCTCCAGAAAGCAGAAAGAAGCCCAGGACCCAAAGGCCTTCCTAACCTGGGCAACACAGGGAGAGACCAGGAGTCGCATTGTTATGATATGGTGGCCAACTGCAGGGCCTGGAACTAGTAGGCAGACATGTGGACTGAACCAGACAGCCGCATTGTTTGGGGGGAAAAAGTTGGTTGCAAGAGAGTCCAGTTGCTGGAGGAAATGCAGCCCCTCAGTTGCTCTCTGAAGGAAGGGGCATAAAATACTTGTGCTCATAGGGCCTGCGATGGGCCACAGAGCCATTTGTGGGGAAGGAATGAAAGTTCTCCAGCACTCCTGGGACAATGGTGCTCCAGGGCAGGGCTGTATTTAATTTTAGTTTGGGTTCAGCTCTGGGCTTCTCCACAGCAACAGTCAACCCAGTTTTGACCATGAGCTTCTTTTCCTGCAAACACCTGAAGTCAAACTTATGTGGTTTCAGGCCTTTTGCTTTCCCAGAAAGGCATCACAGGCTCCACTGCATCCAGTTGCCACCAATGGCAGGGTGGAAATCAAGTTTGGGAACACCGATGTGGACACCTGGTCCTGCAGTTTAGCAGCCATTCTAGGCCCAGGCTCGGCAGATTCTGTGCACAACTGTATCTCATATCACAGAAAGCCATGGATTATTTTTCAGCAAGACAGAGCTCCTATAAGGAGATTCCAAATTACACCCAAGGCCTTACGCCTTGTATGGCACACAACACTGACATTAGGTGGCAGCAAGAACATTAGAAGTTTTGGTAGCAGGGCAGAGGATCACTCAGACCATTATAGTGCAGAAGCTGGTTTTGGTTTTAGGTAACTTGGAAGAAGTTGGTAGTGGGGATGCTACCTTTTTGCCCACTCATCCTTCTTAGGCAGGGGTCAGAGATGACTTGAAATTTGGGAGAGGGATTTTGAATTCCTTCTCCTCCACTCCAGCAAACCTTGACAGCAAATTCCTTCT